CTCTGAATTTTCAATGTCGTTTTTGCTTTGTTTCTCTTAATAAACTTTAAATTTTTGAATAAAAGCCTTTGAATCTAGGCTCTGGTTGAAAATTTTCCTTCTCAGTCCTACTTTTTGTTGTTGACTGGTATCTTTTAAAAGAGATACATCAGACTTAGTAAAGAGACAAACCGTAAGAGATCTGGGGCAAATGTTGGATATAGGGTCAACTGTAGACATTATTTGTATTATAATGGAGAGCCTGTGTATGACTGATGGAGGCTGGAGGCAAAAGTAATCAGAATGATGGGGGCCAGGTGCACAGAAGCCTGATTGATTAACTGGGGGCCACAAGCACTAGAGCCCGATTGGTTGATTATCAGGCAATAACCCCTTAAAATGTGGTATGCTATGAAAAATTATTTGTAAAATGGTATATTACGGTACCTTCCCTCCCTCAATTATGCCCACTTCAGTTTAAGTACAAAGACACTTTTTTTTAAACTGCCAACTTTGCAAATTGAGTCCATGATCTGAATGTTAACCCGTGTTCTTTCTGGCTAATCCCCAATAAAGATTCTGCAAGTGGAACTTAATTAACAATTCTGTTAATGTGTAAGCTAGAAACAATCTAACCATTTACCCATTACTGTATTAGCTCTGGAAAGCTAACAGGAGTAAAAAGCAGTAAGTATTATCAACAGAAGAAACTGTGTGATTCAGAATATACAATGAGAACAGATCTATTGAGTAAAAGTTAACTTCTTAAAATAAACTTTTCTGACTACTTATCTTTATTTATAAAATGTCAGTTTAATCTGCATAAGTTTTCAGTTTGTCATGCCTGTACATCATCACATCTTCCTACTGAAGCAGTCTGAGTGGCTGCTGACAGATTTATTCATTTGGACCATCAAAAAACAACCAAAAACAGGGCTGTCAGGCAATTATTCAAGGGTGCTATCAACCCCATGAAATAGGATGATTTAACAAAAGTGATCACTAATGGGAAAGACAACTCCCCAGAGAAAATGCGTCATGTGCAACAGCGGTTCTCAACTGTGGGGGACGGGGCCCGCTGAGGGCCGCGAGCAGGTTTCAGGGGGGCCGCCAAGCAGGGTCAGTGTTAGACTTGCTGGGGCCCAGGCCAGAAAACTGAAGCCCTGCTATGTTGGGCTGAAGCCCGGGGCTCCCAGCCCTGCCACCTGGGGCTGAAGCCGAAGCCTGAGCAACTTAGCTTTGCGCAGACCCCTGTAGCATGGAGCCCTGGGCAACTGTCCTGCCTGATACCCCTTAAGTCAGTGAATTCCATATGTTTCTCCTAAACCATCCCTATGGGTACCCTTTGGGTATCCTTTCTTCAAAATTCTTTCACCATCCTTCACATCATCCAGATTTGCAACCTCAATTTCATATTAGACTTCTAACTCCTTTCCCCACCCTGCATTCAGGTGGTCACCAAATCCTGTCTGTTTTTTCCTTAAACTTTTTCTCCATTCCAAATCCTTGCTCACACATGTCATCTGTCATTTCAAATATTAACAGTCTCCTCATCTTTGGCCTGCCAGCATCTCCTCTTGCCCGAGCCCAGCCTGTATAAAATACTGCTGCTAAAATACATCTTCCCCTTCCACTGCTTTGAAACAACACACTTCTCTTCAGTTCCTACAATTGGCTTCCTCTTGCTCTCGACAGTAAGTTTCATTCCCACTTTTAAGATTCTGTGTAAATCCATCCCAGCCTATGTGTCAGCTTTTACTTTGTCCTACTGCCTTTGTCCTAACTTGTCATTGCCTACTTGGAACCAATTTTGTAGCCCTCTCCTATAACACCAGATTAGAAAGACACTGGAAACACTGTAGAGGATACAGCAAAAATACAGAATTTAGTAATATCAGATACAATAGCAATGTAGAGCATGTGCCCTATAAAGTCCTTCTCGTAGATTGCCTACGGCAACCCTGAAAACATTAGTGAAATATGCATTTTAAAATTTTGGAATAGAACCTTAAGAGAAAGACTCTGTTAATGGGGAGGTTCTATGCTTCTGTGGAGATAAAGCGTTAGTTAGTGGTTAGAGCAAGAAACTGATGTCAAGACTCCTGGATTAGAATACAGTAGAACTTCAGAGTTACAAACTGATCGGCCAACCACACACCTCATCTAGAACCAGAAGTACGCAATCAGGCAGCAGCAGAGACAAAAAAAGGAAAATACAGTACAGTAATGTGTTAAAGGTAAACTACTAAAAAAAAAGGGAAAGTTTAAAAAAAGATTTTACAAGATAAGGAAATTGTTTCTGTGCTTGTTTCATTTAAATTAAGATGGTTAAAAGCAGCATTTTTCTTCTGCATAGTAACGTTTCAAAGCTGTATTAAGTCAATGTTCAGTTGTAAACTTTTGAAAGAACAACCATAATGTTTTGTTCAGAGTTACAAACAACTTCCATTCCTGAGGTGTTTGTAACTGAGATTCTACTGTAGATGCTTGAGAGTCAATTCCCCTTGTAAAGTATTTTGAAATCCCCAAATGAAAGATGCTGTATTATTGCAAAATATTGTTATTGGTTAGGCATAATCACTGCCCTTCAGTTAAAGACAGTTGTAAGCAGCCATTAAGCATCTTTATGGAACAAGATAACAAACAATAGCAACCTCCACCAAAAACACAGGTACATGTCACCACCCAAAACAAAGGCACAGGCAAGTTGTGTATGCATTGAGGGGTTTTGCTGGTTATTGTTTTGTGCGGATTTGTATGTCTGTGACAGACAGACAAACATCAGAGAAGGAGCAGAAAGCCAAGAACACTGCAAAAGCACTGGGAGCATGGCCCTTAGAAAAAAACAAGAGAGAAAGCTCTCTCAGCTCAGTGCTGGCTGAAAGAAGCTTAGAACTGTAAGCAAAACACAATACGAAGTTTCGATTCCTACTGTACTCAGGGAAACAAGATCTTTGCACATTCTTTGTAAGTAGACAGAGTTGCATCAAAGAAATACTTGACTTCATCACCCATTTCTCCTCCTAACCGGAACAAACTGCAAGACCCCAAATTTTTGGTTAACCACTCAGGTTGACGGAGGTAACATGTTACAATCTATTGATTTTATTGGTTCTCCTAATCTTTACTAGTCAAACAGTATGTGAAATACAATTTCTATGCAAAATCCTTTATTTTCTAAACGTTTGTGTTAATATTAAGTAATTTGAACAATTAATTGTTGTTATAAAATCATTCTGTATAAGCGAGATAGTAAGGTCAGAATTCTCTGCAGGGAATGCCATTTCAATCTGGAATTTATTATTTCCCGTAGTCAGACAGAATAGATGTACTCCAGAAACTTTATACACACAGCATTCAAGAGAAAATAAGTCACTGCTGCATGATAATAATTTTCATCCAGTCTTCACACCAGGTAAGATTATGTTTAGTTACACTCCCTTGGACTATTTTAGCTCCTTCTTTGGGGTTTACATATACACAGTCATTTTCTGGCCTCTGACCGATCTCCCATATCAGTGACCAATTTATCTATTTAATTCACTTAATCTTTCAAAGTCAGTTTACCAGTCCTCCAAATCATTTTTGATGTACAAGGGGAAAATAGGTCATATGAGTGCAACATGAGTCACTGACCCATCAGAACACCACGCAAAAGAAAAAAATTGAATATTGTTGCTTTGAGAGCAGTAAAGTGAAGGATCTGGAGTGACAGCATACAACAAATCATAGAAATTAGAGTCTGAAAAGATATGAGGTCATCTAGTTCATCCCCATGCCAGGGCAGGATTGCTCCCTACAGTGTATTTCCTAGACATGAGCTTGAGGGATGATGCTATCGCAAGAAAAGTGAATACTATATATACTAGTATGTACATGTAGGGGGGGGAAACATTTTTTTTTTTTTTTTAAGGCCAGAGAAGTAATAACTCCTCTTTACACAAGCCTTGCTAATACCACACTTGGGAGTACTATGCAGGGTTTTGTTCTGCTCGCTATAAAAAACCCCTACCAACACTGATAAATTACAAGGAATATATAGATGACAAAAGGAATGGAGGGCATGACCTATGAAGAAAGATTAATGGAACTTAATATGTACACCTTAGATAAAAGATGGCAAAGGGGAAATCTGTTAATTATCATTACACATGGATGCTCAGAGGGGACACTAAATCCTTCCATACTAAATTCCTACCACAGATTAGCATCACCTAATGTTAATTACAGATTCCAGGAACATCTAAATGTAACATATTGAAATAAAAAACTGTGTATAACAGATTCATACTAAATACTTCAAAGTCAGACATCATTTGTGTAATTTCATATACAGTGTTCTGGCATAAAAAGACAGCTGTTTCACACATCCTAAAAACTATTTTAACATTCAATATTATGACAATCTTAACTATTTAAAATCCTAAATGTAACATAACAAGAACTATTCAGAAGTGTGTGGGTTACTATTTGTAGTGTCAAACTGTTCAGAATGTATAACTTCTATCACATCCCTCTTTTCAAACCTCTGTATTGGTTGACTCTCTCCTCCCATTAAGGCGAGAGTTGACATTAAATAAATAAATTCAAATAAAAATAAATATGTTTTAACACTCAAGTATAGATAGGACAAGTTGTATTTTAACATGTGTTATCTGGTCAAGGTGAACCCAAGCCTGTTTCCTAATGTTTACCTCAACCACCTAATGTGTTAAAATACGACTTGCCCTGTCTACACTAGGATAAAAGCTTTTTAGGCTATCCTCAACAAGACCTAAAAGGCTACCTATACACCACCACCCTTCATTTTTGAATATCCTCCCAGTCACTGCAAACCAAAATCTCCCTCTCGGTCACGGACACGGTCACACACACACACACACACAAATCTCACCACATCTGGTTCAATACTTCTTTTAACTAGTAACCCTAGCACAATTATGTCCTCACCTTTTCTTCCAGTTATTGCATTGCTTTTCTTTAATAGTTAGTTTGTGAATTAATGTTTTGGATATTTTTACCTGTTGCTCAGTAGCATTGTATTTGCTCGGTTCATGGATTGTTAGCTCTCAGGGGCAGACTCCCTGCTCTTGGGAACTGTCCATTCAGCAACATGTAGACCAACAGACCTTTAAATAAGAAATAATAATTCACATAAAGTGAAGTACACAACTATATAAAAGTGACTTAGCTATTTTTAAAAACCTATACACAGTCAACTAACCACCTACACTGGATAAATCCTTTTTTATATTAATTACATTAGCAAAAAGCAAATACTTCAAAATATACAGCAGTGCTCCCCAAACTGTGGGGCATGCCCCTTAGGGAGGCACCGAGGAAAGCTTGGAGGGGCATGGCAGGGCCCGGGCTAGCCCCCACGGGGGACGGGGAGGGAGTGCCACCCAGCCCCACCCCCAGTTCCTGTCTCGGCCCCAACACAGCTCCACTCCCAGGCCTGACTCTGGAAGCAGCCCCAGCTGCAGGTCTGGCCTCGACCACAGCCCAATTCCCGGCCACAGCCCCTGAGCGGGGGGCAGGGACACGGATAGATTCCATTACGGGTAAGGGGGGCCATGACATAAAAATCTGGAAGCCCTACAGTCTTTTTACAGCCATTAAAAATGTGAAGCTTCCAAGTTCTACACATTGCTAAGAATATGTACAATCTTGTATCCCTTTTACCGTCAAACTCATCTTCCGCCTAACCTCCCCTCCCTCTGCTGTGTTCCATACCCCCTTGTCCCATCTTAGCTTACAAGCTCTTTGGAGCAGAGACTGTCTTTCACTGCCTGTTTGTATCCCTGAACAGTGTGGGTCCAGCTGGGGCCTCTGGGCATCAATGTAATATATATAAAAAACAAAAACAAAACTCTGAGCAATCAAGTTAACCATTTTGCTACTGCCCACAGCTGTTGTGTGAAGATCTATGAAATTCTAGCATTCACTGGAACACTAGTAACACAATGTGCATTTTGCCATATGTTAGTTCTCCATGGAGTCTGTTATGGAACGGTGATCTACTTTCATTAACAGCATGAAACATACACATGCCTGCTAAAATGATGCATCACATCAGGAGAAGAAAGCACATTAGGTTTGACTATGTACTGTACTGGTAATGCAAGGATTAGCTTTCCCTAAGAAAAAGATGGCGTTATTGAGATAAGCACTGTCACTGGTGTGTGTGGGTAAATATGGCAGGCGGATAGAGCTTGGGTAGGTCCGGGTTCAGCAATGGTAGGTACAGATGGATTTGGCAGATGAAAAGAACTTGGGTGGGTAGGCAGGTGTTCAGCACTGGGATGTGCAGTGACTGGAAATGTTTGGTGACTGGAAAGAGCCAGGGTGGGATAGATGTTCAGCAGTAGGGGAGTGGGAGGGGCAGCTGGGTTTGGCAGCTGGAAAGAGCCTCGGGGAGTAGATGTTTAGTACTGGGAAGGGCAGATGGTTTTGGTGGCTTGAAGGAGCGGGAGGAGAAGGTGTTCAACACTTGGGGTGGGGGAGGTGGATTTGACAACTGGAAGGACCCAGGAGGCAGGGTAAGAGTTTGGAGTTTGGCACTGGGAGGGACAGGCAGGGTTGCCAAATCTCCAGGAACTAAAGATTAATTTTTAATTAAAGATTATGTCATGTGATGAAATCGCCAGGAATTCATCCAACCAAAGTTGGCAACCCTAGTTCAGCAGCTGGAAGGAAGGGGCAGGGAAGAGAGCTAGGTGGGTTGGACAGCTGGAAGGAGCAGGGGTGTGGGGGGCGGGTAGGAGTTTGGCACTGGGAGTAGGCGGGTTTGGCAGCTGAGATAGCCAGTGCATGGTGTGAGGGTGGACCCATCACTGATGGACCTCGGGCAGGGGTCAGCGTGGCAGGGCCTGTTCCGGAGCAAGGGGCACAGCCAGGCTGAAGATACGGGACTCATCGCTGGCAAAGCGGAGGGCCAGGCCGGGCCCATCGCAGGCAACCTTAGGACGGAGTCGTGGTGGTGTCAGTGGGCCGGGCGGGGCAGGGCTAAGCCAGGGGGCGCGGGGTCCCGGCTGGCAAAGGCCGAGCGTGGCACTGACTACGAGGCCCGGGCACAGGGAGGGCAGGGCCCCGAACAGACACACAACGGCCGGGACCGGCAGCCGAGCAGGCCGCGCCCGAGCCCTCCGCCCCTGCCTGAGAAGAGAAGTCACCGTACCCGTCCGCAGGGCGGAGCGGCCTGCGCCGCGCGCTGACACCAGCCACACGAGCGTCCCGGGCAGCAGGGGCGAGTCAGCCGCAGGGCGAAGGCGGGGCTCCCACAGGGCAGAAGGCGCCGCGGGACACGAGTGATCACGCTCTAGCAGCGTGGGGAGGGGAGAGCGTGGTGGGCGGAGCCATGACATGATACCAGTACGTTCTGCGTGGTGGGAAGGGGGGACCCAAAGGGCGTGGCCAGAACGCGGGGGGGGGGGGGCACTCGACTGTTGTTTAGGTGGCGTGGGCGGGGCTCTCTATCCGGGTGGGCGCGACCCGCCGCCCGCTCTCACAGAGAACCCTGCTGCCGATGGAAAGAGGGGCGCGACGGAAGCCGACGAGGAACAACCCCGGCTCACCCCAGGACAGGCGGGAGCTCTACTCAAGGAGGGGCAGCCGCGTTCCCGTGGCTCAGGGGCCATCGGGCCCTTAGGGAGGGGTAGCCCGTTGATTGGTTGCCCACGCCAGTGATGACGTGGGGCCGCTCAAGCTTGCTCTCTGTTTTCGTTCTGAGCCGGAGCAGCGGGCGGGGCGTGTGAGGCTCTTGCCCCCACCCCTCGCAGAGCTCAGCGACCTGCCCCGGCCCCAACACGTCCCGTTATTTGCCGTTGGGGCTGGGTCACGTGCTCCTGGTTTTCTCTGCCCCGAGGTGAGGCGGGAGCTCTTGGGAGCAGGCGGGACTCTGGTGGGGTGACCTGACTCCGGGGCCGAGCGCCCAGGGAAGCCCCAAACCCTGCGAGATCAGTGATAACGTTAGGGAGGTTTGCAACAGGGTGAACTGTCGGGACCCTGCGTGTCTCTAGCAGCCCCGGCGTGGCTTCCCAAATCTCGTCAAAGCGGGATTCATTGAGCATCAAGCGAGCGGCTCAAAGGCCCTCCTGGGCCTGTTTTATCTTGCTGCTTAGTGGCCCCGGGGGTCATAAGGCCCTCCCTGATTTGAACTCACGAAGATGAGTAAATGCACCAATGACTGGATGTGCCTCTCTTGGGTCTCAGTGTGGCAGTTGCATAATAAATGTCATGGTTTGCTTCCCCTCTGCTTGAATTTGGTAGCATGCCAAGCATGTGTCTCTTTTCCTTCTGAACTGCTGTTGCTAATTCTAAGTTGTGAAGGAGAGATCATAGAAATTACCATGTGGGATCAGGCCAGTGACCATTTAGACCAATATCTAGTGTCCAACAGTGGCCATTTGATACTTGAGAGGAAGGTACCGGAGAGCCTGCAGTTATGGGACAACTTGCCCGCAGGGAAGTTTCCTCCTGACCCCTACTGTAGATTGGCTTGTGCAGCGAAGCTTGGGAGTCTACATTCTAAAAAAAAAAAAATTAAAACATCTTTACTATTATAACTGGCTATACTTGTTATCCATTTAACTGATCAGTCCTTTTTTGAATGTGAACAAGCATGTTCATTTCATATGTAAGTGACTAGCACAAATGGACAACTGAAAATCATGTGAAGAAATGTAATGCAAAGGTGTAGAAACAAGCAGTTGCCCAATTGCTTTGAGGTCAGACATGTTAGAAAAGAGACCGATAACCTATTCTGTTTTGAACAGGTGATGAAAAGAGAGCTTTAATAAGTGAGGAAGCAAGTTTTTATTCTTAATTTTATTTATTGCTTATCTGCAAAAGCACCAGCACATTGCACAACTTAAAACAACTAAATAAAAGCAATATACAATCATATTTATATCACAGCACCATATAAAATATTTTAAAACATAAGATTTTTAAATCTGAATTAAAAGGTGCTGCTACATCTGCAGTTCTGCCTGTTTAGGTGGAACATGAAGATATCCTATAGTCTTGGGATTGCAGCAGCAAAAATACAATATGCCCTCTTGCATGGCCAAAAAATCCATCCATCAGCCCCATCCCTGTGCAGTTTAGCTGTTGAAATGATATGCTGGGAGCCAGAAGCTCTGTGAGACAGCTGGGTCCCAATCCATTTTTAAAATTTAAAGCCAATATTTGAACACATTCTGGGTCCAAATAGGCAAGTGATGTGAATAAGAAGCTTCTTGGCACTCTCCTCTCACTCCGTCCTGTTCCTCCAAATAATCAAGTTGCCATATTCTGCTGTAGCATCTAATCAACCTACTTTTATAGCCTACAGTATACTGTAGTAGTCCAACACAAGTGTTACAAAGGCATACACCACAGTCATTGTATTAGTGTATAAGAGAAACAGATAGTTTAATATTCTGAAGATGATCATAAGCAGCTGTGACTACCTGCAAATCCTGTGTAATATCAGTTCTGATCAGTGTCTAGACTGTGACCTGCATGAGTCACCTGAAGTGATACTATGAGAGGCCTAGTGAAATACTTCTCTCATATTTTCTACACAAACCAATCAACATAATTTTAATCTTGCTGAGATTCAGTTTTAGTTAATTCCTAGGTAGATCTGGACTTCTGTGAGGCATATTTTGAGACCCCTAAAATCATCCTCAGAGGGAAAGGTACAGCACTGACTGCACTGGGCTCTTTGTGGCCATAGCAGTTTACAGGACTGAGACCTAAGAAATTATGGTAGAATATATGAAGTTGGGTGTCATTGCTCTAAAACTGATTTCTGAGCCAATATCTATTACCATGCTTTTGACTGGTAACATGTAAAAACTGAAAACATTTGGAGCAAACACCAATTAGTGGGACCTAGCAAGAAGCAAGCAGCCACCTATCAGCACCCGCTGGAACATCTGCACACATTATGATCAAGACAGTTCAATTTATACATATATATAGGGCCCAGCCCATAAAGTTTTCTACTTGAGGAAACCTGAATATAAATAGTTGCCATATATAATTATAGGAAATGTGTAATTTCAAAGGTACATATTCATTTTACTTAATATATTTTTAAAATATGAAAGGATTTTGGGGCAAGGGAAAAGAAAGTGATTGGTTTGGGAGTTACAGAAAGGAAAATATGAGGTTATTCCATAGCAGTCAGAGGGGGAGGGGGAGGGGCGGTTGAGGTCCCCTTACTCTGAACTATTTGTGCCATCTTCCCAACAATTCCCCAGCATACTTATGGATATAAATTCTGACTTTGTCACATCTATGATGACTCCACCTGTGGGACAGCATGCCATCCAGTCCACCATAAAAAGGACCATTGGATAATTTTTTGAGGAAGCTATATGGTGATTTTTGCAAAGGTAAAAATAACCTGAAGATTAAAGGTTGTGAGGACAAGGACAGAGACACCCTTAGGGAAAATTTGTTCAGGATGAAATTTATTAATCACCTGCATGTTAATCTTCCACTGTGTTTCTTTAAATACAGGAGAGCATATTTCAACTTCAGTAGTCTCCGAAAAGCAAGAACAATATCTTTTATATAACACAGTATATTCAAAGTTGTGTATATGAATTAACTACTAACTGGTATGTAATCTATCATTTAAATCAGCTTCTGTACCAGATGACTCGTACAGCTAATGTGATACCATTTTAAAAAAGGGCTCCAGAGGAGATCCCAGTAATTACAGACCGGTAAGCCTAACTTCAGTACCGGGCAAATTGGTTGAAACTATAGTAAAGGACAGAATTATTGGACACATAGATGAACATAATTTGTTGGGGAAGAGTCAACATGGTTTTTGTAAAGGGAAATCATGCTTCACCAATCTAGAATTATTTGAGGGGATCAACAAGTATGTTGACAAGGGTGATCCAGTGGATATAGTGTATTTAGATTTTCAGCAAACCTTTGACAAGGTTGCTCACCAAAGTCACTTAAGCAAAGTAAGTTGTCATGGGATAAGAGGGAAGGTCCTCTCATGGATCAGTAACTGGTTAAAAGATAGGAAACTATGGCTAGGAATAAATAGTCAGTTTTCAGAATGGTGAGAGAGAAATACTGGTTTCCCCCAGCAGTCTGTACTGGGACCACTACTGTTCGACATATTCATAAATGATCTGGAAAAAGGGGTAAACAGTGAGGTGGCAAAATTGGCTGATGATACAAAACTACTCCAGATAGTTAAGTCCAAAGCAGATTGCAAAAAGTTACAAAGGGATCTCACAAAACTGGGCGACTGGGCAACAAAATGGCAGATGAAATTCGGTGTTGCTAAGTGCAAAGTAATGCATATTGGAAAACTTAATCCCAACTATACATATAAAATGATGGGGTATAAATTAGCTGTTACCACTCAAAAAAGATCTTGGAGTCATTGTGGATAGTTCTCTGAAAACATCCACTCAATATGCAGCGGTAGTCAAAAAAGCTAACAATGGTGGGAATCATTAGGAAAGGGATAGATAATAAGACAGAAAATATCATATTGCCTCTATATAAATCCATGGTACACCCACATCCTGAATACTGCGTGCAGATGTGGTCGCCCCATCTCAAAAAAGATGTATTGGAATTGGAAAAGGTACAGAAAAGGCAACAAAAATTATTAGGGATTTGGAATAGCTTCCATCTGAGGAGAGATTAATAAGACTGGGACTTTTTAGCTTGGAAAAAAGACGACTAAGGGCTGATATGTTAGAGGTCTATACAATCATGACTGGAGTGGAGAAAGTAAAACAAGTATTATTTATTCCTCATAACACAAGACTGGGATCAAATGAAATTAATAGGCAGCAGGTTTAAAACAAACAAAAGGAAGTATTGCTTCACACAACACACAATAAACCTGTGGAACTCTTTGCCAGAGGGTGTTGTGAAGGCCAAGATTATAACAAGATTCAAAAAAGAACTAGATAAGTTCATGGAGGATAGGTCCATCAATGGCTATTAGCCAGGATGGGCAGGGATGTAAAGCCATGCTCTGAAGTGTCCCTAGCTTCTGTTTGCCAGAATCTGGGAATGAGCGACACGGGATGGATCACTTGATGATTACCTGTTCTGTTCATTGTCTCAGAAGCACCTGGCATTGGCCACTGTCAGAAGACAGGATACTAAGCTAGATGGACCATTGGTGTGACCCAGTATGGCCATTCTTATGTTTCTTAACTACTTAATCCCCATAACATCTACTGCGACTCTGAGATAGGTGGGTATGTACCATTATCCTCATTTTACAGATGGGAAAAAAGATCAAAAGATGAAGGAACTTGCCCACGGCCAAGATCT